AAGACTGTGGTCATTGTCAGATGACATAGGAAACTAGCTAAAAATACAGTGACCTTTCCCCTCATCGTGTTTTGGCTTCGTTGCTTTGTTCACTTTGCCCTTCTTCTTGTGTTTTTCCATCTTTTCTCCATCTGGTTTGTCATCCTGGTCAGGAGACGCAGCCCCTGAGTCATCCAGCGATGGGTCACTGAGAAATGAGATCAAAAGCAGTGACATTTTTGTTTTTGTTTTTTTTTTAAATATACACACTCATTGGCCACTTTATTAGGTACACATACATTAGGTAAATTGTATGCAATTCAATGCAATACTTCTGCCTTAACATCTGTGTTCATGAAGCTCAAAAACTGAAACATTCTGAGCTTCATAAACACAGATGTTAAGGTGGAGGTTTTGCATTGAATTGCATAAAATTGTTCAGGTGTGACTATTAAAGCGGCCGGTGAGTGTATATGTGATACAAGACAAAAGGGGTAAAAAAGTATTAATTCCATCTGACACATAAACCTTTACGGTATCTGAACATTTTGCAACACTCATATTTAGTCAAGGCTAAGTATTAACTTGCAAAATGAGCAGCAGCAGACTGAAAATGACTAAAATACACAAGAGGGTCCTCCACTATGTGTCTGGTGAGGTTTCTGAACAAGGTAAAACAAGCAGACCTGTGAGACAAACAACATCTGTGCCCAAAACGACACTTTCCCATCAGGAAAAACTGGCAGACACCAACTCCATCCTCTTCCCGTTTTGATGACTCTGTAAATGATAAACCGACAATGAAAAAGCTAAAGTAAGTGGGGCACACATATAATGAAACTGTAATGAAAGAAAATTAGCAGCATCTTAACTCCGTATTGGCTGTCCATTTAAATTACTTCCGAAAAGCAATACAGCAACAGCACAAAAGACAAGCTAATTTAGCTAGAAGCAGACCCACATAACACTGGTGGTCTAGCATAACATTCCCAGTTATCAACATATGCACGGCTCTGATATATCTGGGTTCAGTTCGAGATAAAGTATAACATCCCCAGACTTCACTCCCCCATACTTTCTCAACAACCTGACCCAGTTTATGAGGCAGTGGGCTGAGAAGAGAAGTTACAGTTTCCTTAGTGTGTTACTTAAGACAACAAGTAGGACAAACGAAAATACTAATACATAATTTTATGTGACATTCATACCTAGAAGAGGAAATGGGCTATCTGTCTCTGCTACTTCCTTTTGTGTGTGTTTTCAATAAATGGTTGTCTCCTACAGTAGCTACTTGATCTTCAATGTCAAAGAGATGCATTTCTGTGTGCCAGATAACAGATACACAGTAAATGCACATACATATGTTGGGAAATATGATCCTGCCTGCCCTCGGACTGTTGCACAACAAACTCAGTTTTAAACTGTTCCTTCACAGCTTTATCTTAAGCACTTAACATTTCAAATCAGAAATAAATATAATTAATGCCCAAAAGGAAACTGTAAGAAGAATCATAAATGATTTCTATAGCACAATATTTCCTTTCCAATACAACTCCAGAGGATATAAATGATGTAACTGGTGGCAATGACCCACCCCAGAGAACAAAAATGTCAGCCAAGTAGTTAGGACATGGCTGAAAACTGAAACACGCACCCTCTAAATCAATATCTGGATAGGAGAACAGAATGTGACTCACAGCCCAAATCCTTTAATCATTAGCTGTAAGTTCTTCTTTCTCACTGAGATGGCACTGGCTGGCACAGTACCAGACTTAACAAGTTTTTCAACTGCTTCCACACATAAGATGTCAGTACAACTAACTGGGTGAATAAAACAAAATTCTGTGATGTTTATTCTTTGGAAAGTTTACCTGACTCAGAGCCCAGTGAGACAAGTGGGAGGAGAAGGAGACAGTTAATTCTTTTTATCATAGTTCATTTGGAGGTCAGAACCAGTACTTACAGCTCTTGACTCAGTTCCTGATTTCTGATATATTGCCAGCAGAGCTGTCTGGCATGAAGTGAAAACGTTGGCTGTCATTGCAGTGGTCTGCTCAGTCAATCAGCTATCCTATTTTAATAAAAGGGAGTCCAGCCACATGATATAAACAAGAACTTACCAGAACTCCAATTGCTCACAATAACACAGACATGTACCAAACACTGAAGAATTTTATTACAGTTTATTACTTAGAAGGAATTCAGACTAACTTGGGTAATATGACTTATCAGTGAGTCTACACTGTAGACAGTAATGTCTTCACATGTGATACATTATGTGGATTTAAATGTCTTCAGTTATGTTGGAAGCCTTCAGAGCCTTTGAAAAACAGCAAACAGTTACTACATAGCAATATGTGTAAAAGTAAAGAATATAATTTACCTGTTTTGGCTTTGAGGGTGTCCTTACTACTGTCAGGGCCAGCTGGGACACCTGCCTGTGGACTGGGTGTGTCAGTCTGATCGGTAGGTGTCAGGTGGGTCAAATCCTCTGTCGGATCCTCTTGTAAATCTGAAGGCTTTCCCGGTCTGTCTGCCATTCTCAAATCTGTGAAGTAACAGGCGATGTTACATGAAAATGTCTGCTGTGTCACTGTGGTATTTTCTACCACATCTTTAGCTTTGTGTGAACCGGCACTCCTTAAACTTACCAAATGCGGAAGTGTGTGTGGTTAGTGTTGTTCAATATCTAATATAAACTTTTCATAATTCAATAATTCCTAAACAATCATCGTCATATGTAGCTAATACAATTACAATAGAAACACGTCTTTATATACATCACATGAAAACGTTTTTATTAATCTTTGACATAGCGTTACTTACTGATGAAGCAAATGGTTGTGAATTGTTACCCTTTGGTCTCGTTTGTTTACTCAGGGGGAATTATGGGTAATGCAGTTTTAATGTCCTCGGAAAGTGCTTATGTGGTGATATTAGCAAATGCATCCATTGTTTGCTAACTTCCTTCTCGCTTTGATAAAACAATAGATCTTTTCAAACCAATTGTTAAAATTATGATGGTTTCTAGTTAATGCCGTGTTCATGTCATAAAGTTTAACGGGTGGTAAAACCATCCACATCAGCCCCAAACTTGTACCCAGTAGTTTCTACAGGGTACATCTGGTCAAGGATAACTAGAGAGAAAAGTTGATGACTGTCAGCAGACAGGGTGTTTAATATTATTATTATGACGTGTATAACTGTAGCCTTAGCCATAATATGTTCTTATGTTTAAGTCACGACATGTACTAGAGGTCGTGAGAATGTTTTTAGCTACACACCACTTAACCAACAGACACACACACACACGTTGTTTTGCTTCATGTTTTGACTACTGCTATGACCAGCTGCAAAGCTGGCAACAGAGACGTCTCGGTTGACGTTTTCTGTGTACTATGGGGCTAGCCCAACCGAGGGGATATAATGTACAGGCCTGGTGGGCTCAGGGTCTTTCATCTTACATCTGCCTGCGAGCAGTTTGGAGGTGCACGATACCTGAGCGTGTAATGTTAATTTTACCTGTGATCCTTTGAATAAATCAGCACTGTTTTGAAGTTACTTGGACTGTCTCGTCTCTCAAGAGTTAGCAATGGTAACAAGAGCCATAGTCCTACAATATAGTTTCTGAAAGCGACGACATCCCCCCCTTGGTGAAAAGAAATACACACCTGTCAACAAACTCTTGGCAGAATTGCTACATATGCACCACCGCTGTCGGTTACCAACATTAACTGTTTATTTGATGCGCGCACGATGTTAGCACCGGTGCTAACATTACGATCATGTGTGAACCCTACCAATTTGGCCCTTCCCATTCTCAACATTACGTGAACGCAGCACAACACCTATGCGTCATGTGTGCTCGAGCGCGTGATTCTGCGTCACGTGACAAGCTCTGTTGTTGCTAGTTACCCTAGTAGCTGCACATCAGCAAGACAAAACAACAGAAAGTATAGAAATCTCCAATCTGACACACCGAGAGCCTCTTATCTTTGAGAATTCGGTCTGTTTCATGCCATTGTTTAAATGTGCTGCGTCTTATATAAGGGCTTTTTGAACATCGCGAACAATGTATACCCTTTTGTGAAGTACTACTGAGCACCAGACATCTGTTGAATTCGGCTCAGCGCTAAAGGTAGGACTCTGACGTTATCGGGTGTAATGACGATGTCTTAACCCTAGTGTCACCATGTAATGTCAGTGACTTACCATATCCAACTGGTACGTTTTGAATTTCTTATTAATGCTCACATCAAAATCAAACATATTCAGAACAATAAACATCTGAAAACCTATTTTCTGTCTCTCAGATGAATGCACTGGTTGCTCTCTGTCATTTCTGTGAGCTCCATGGCCCCCGGACTCTGTTCTGCACCGAGGCACTACACCCCCCGTCCTTGTCCCCTTCCTCCCAGACAGGGGTCCCAGCATCTGGAGACCAAGATGGTGACCGGGAAGGCGAAGGACTGACCATGAGGGCCAATAGCTCAGCCACACAGAGAGGAGAAATGTGTGAGGTGAGGGGTATGGACAAAGGACAGAATGTTAACCGGTTGTCAGATGCTTGCTTCAATTTGGCCTTATCTCCCTCATTACACTTTATCAATAACTTGTTTGTACAGTAAGAAACAGAAGTATTTGAACACCCTGCCATTTTGCAAGTTCTCCCACTTAGAAATCATGGAGGGGTCTGAAATTCATATTGTAGGTGCATTCCCACTCTGAGAGACAGAATTAAAAAAATTTCAGGAAATCACATTGTATGATTTTTAAAGAATTTATTTGTCTAGCACTGCTGAACATAAGTATTTGAACACCTGAGAAAATCAGTGTTAATATTTGGTACAGAAACCTTTGTTTACAATGACAGAGGTCAAACGTTTCCTGTAGTTCTTGACCAGGTTTGCACACACTGCAACAGGGATTTTGGCCCACTCCTCCACACAGATCTCCTCTAGATCTGTCAGGTTTCGGGGCTGTCGCTGAGCAACACGGAGTTTAAGCTCCCTCCAAAGATGTTCTATTGGATTGAGGTCTGGAGACTGGCTAGGCCACTACAGAACCTTGATATGCTTCTTACAGAGCCACTCCTTGGTTATCCTGGCTGTGTGCTTCGGGT